GAAAAAACCAAAAGGTTATTAATTTTTATTTAAAAATATAACAAGGTGCATTTTGATTGCATTTTGTTTGTTGTTCAGTCTCAAAAGAAACATTAGGCCAGGTACCAGTGGTTTATACCTGTAATCCTAACTACTAAGGAGGCTGAGATCTGAGGATTCCAGTTCAAAGCCAGCCAAGGCAGGAATATCTGTGAGACTCTTACCTCCAATTAACCACTAGAACACAAGAAGTGGCTCAAGTGGCAGAGCGCTAGCCTTGAGCGAAAAAGGTCAGGGACAGGGCCCTGGCCCTGAGTTCAAGTCCTATAATTGACCCCAACCTCCCCCCCAAAAAAAAGAAAGAAAATAAACATTAGAAATAAACAATAGTTTAATAAGTCATAGTACTTATAAATAGTTTAATGAAGCCATACCATTTATAGGTTAGTCAAATAGTTGCAATATAAAATGTCATGAAATTAGTTAAAGATGCATTTGATTTTGTTTTTTTTAAAGATGCATTTTAATACTGATACAATGAGAGCAATAGCAGCTTTGTGAATGACTTCTATAGTATTGCTTTATTTGAGACAAGGTTTCACTAACTTTCTTGGATTGATCTATAACTCATAATCTTCCTGATTCTGTCTTCCAAGTAGATGGGACTACAGACTAGCCTCTGGCCTGACCAAAACCTTTATTACACAAGAATTATCAAAACATTTAGACCACAACAATACAGTATACAATGATTAATATTACAAACACTGTAAGTGCCAATGTTATACTTTTTTTTTTTTTGCCAGTCCTGCAGCTTGAACTCAGGGCCTGGGCACTGTCTCTGAGCTTCTTTTGCTCAAGGCTAGCACTGTGCCACTTGAACCACAGCACCACTTCTGGCTTTTTCTGTGTATGTGGTGCTGAGGAATCGAACCCAGGGCTTTATGAATGTTAGGCAGGTACTCTACAACTAAGCCACATTCTCAGCCGACACAACTTTTTTGTTAGTGGTCATTCCCTTTATTTTTAGATAATACAAAAATAGGTTGTAGTATAAAAAAAAAACTTTTATGAGACACAGGTATGTCTGTTTCATTTTCATCCAGAAATGTGTTGTAAACATAAACTGACTTCCACTTAGATGCTAAACGTTGTCTCCATGTCTGCTACTTGCCAGTCTGATAACTTTCCAACAATCCTATTTGCATACCAAAGCAATATTTTTCTATGAAAATACAGGCTTCTCTAGGAAAGTGCTAAGTTATCTTTCTATCTTAAGCTAACTGAATGATACATCAAGGATATCATTTATGTAGCTACTTCCTGTCAAACTAGAAAGTTCAATGATGTTCTAAAAATCCTCCTGGCTCATCATGGATAAGGAGCTGCTATTTTTATTCTCAGAACTGCAGAGGACATTAACTTCAAAGCTAATCTAATGATTGCTCAGTGTTAGAGCATTTGCCTAGCATGTTCAAGGTCTTAGGTGATAGCCCCATCAACAAAGCTAGTCCTGTATCTTCAATTATTCACTATAATTGGAATTTTTCTTCTTCTCTGAAGCTACAGTAGTAGTCAGCGCTAAACAGATAACTCTAGCAAACTGAGGGCTTCCAGAAATACTTAGCAATTTCCAGGGGATTGTGTATAAGGTTGCTAAGTAAAATAAAAGCTACTTAGTTAAATATGAATTTCAGCTAATATTTATTTTTTTTGTCGGTTATGGGGTTTGAAACTGGGCACTGTCCTTGAGCCTGTCTGTGCTCAAGGCTGGCACTCTACCACTTGAACTACAGTGCCACTTCTGGTTTGTGAGTGATTAATTGGAGGTGAGAGTCTCACAGGAACTTTTCTGCCCAGGCTGGCTTCAAACCTCAATCCTCAGATGTCAGCCTCCTTAGTAGTTAGGATTACAGGCATGAGCCACTGGTGCCCAGAAACTAATACATTTAAATTTTTACCTTTTGTTGTGGGGGGGACTAAACCTTCAGGGATCTGTACATGATAGGCAAGTGCTTTATCACTGAGCTATAGCATTAGTTCCAGTCAATATTATGGAGTTTAGAATAGTAGCTAAGTAGTAAAGTGTGTGCTTACTATATGTGAGGCCTGAGTTAAAAAAAATGTTGTTTAATCGGACACATTTACACTTAGAAGTTATTTGTTGTTTATCTGAAATTTCAATTTAGTTGGGTCTCTTGCTTTCTTTATTTGCGAATCTGACATCTCTAAACTGGCAAGAAAGAACAAAATTGTGTAAAATGAACATTGTTACTGCTATGGAATCTACTGACAGGTGAGGACAGGGCACTGAGTCTCATCATTCTGCCACAGACCTCAGGGAATTCTTGGCAGGCCACTGTGGAAAACAGAAGGTTTGTGTTGAAGTCTTCATGCAAGTTTTATTTAGCTGTGTGCAGGTGAACAGCAGATATGAGAGTAAGGAATACAAGAGCTGGGAAATGTAGCTCAGTAGGACAGTATGTATGAAGTGGGAGAGGTATGAAGTCCTGAGTTCAATCCTTAGCAACAAACAAACAAAATGGAATAAGCATCTCAGATTTCAGTAACCAAGACAGAATTACCTACCTAAGGTGCCAGAAGTGGTATTTCTAACTAATAAGGTCACACTGGCCCTTTGTTTCCAATCATTTTGGAAAATAGTTGCATTTAAATGGTGGATGGTGGTCAGGTGCTAGTGGTCCATACCTGTAATCCCAATTACTCAGGAGACTGAGATCTGAAAAATGTTAAGGCATCCAAAGCAGAAAAGTATATGAGACTCAATCTCCAATTAACCAGAAAAAATGTTCAGCTAGAGTTGTAACTCTAGGGGCTGGGAAGGTGGCTCAGTGGTAGAGCGCTTGCCTTGCATGCCTGTGACCCTGGGTTCGATTCCTCAGCACCACATAAGCAAAAAGAAAAAAGCCGGAAGTGGCGTTGTGGCTCAAATAGTAGAGCGCTAGCCTTGAGCTGAAGAGCTGAGTGACAGCGCCCAGGTCCAGAGTTCAGCCCCATGACCGGACCCCCCCCCACAGCCCCCCCGCCAAAAAGTACTAGAGTTGTAGCTCTAGTGGTGGATTGCCAAACATGAGCAGGAAAGCCCAGCTAGGCTCAGCTAGGCTGAGAGTTGAAGATTTTGGTTCAAAGCCAGCCAAGGTAGATAAATCCCAGCTATTCTTAGCTTCTACTAACAAGCAAAAAGAGATCTGATTCATCTGGTAGAGCTCCATCCTTAGCAAAAAAGCCAAGCAAGAGCACAAGGCACCATGTTCAAGTCCCAGTATGGGCACATACACACACAAAAACATCCCCTCTAGCTGGGCGTTGGTGGCTCACGTCTGTAATCCTAGCTACTCAGGAGGATCTGAGGATTGAGGTTCAAAGCCAGCCTGGAAAGGAAAGTCCGTGAGACTCTTATCTCCAATAAAACACTCAGAAAACCGGAAGTGGTACTATGGCTCAAGAGGTAGAGTGCTAGCTAGCCTTGAGCTGAAGAGCTGAGGGACAGTGCCCAGGCCCAGAGGTCAAGCCCCACAACCGACAAAAACAAACAAACAAACAACAAAAAAAAAAACCTCTCTGTACATCACCTTTGTGATAATCATAAAAATAAAATAAAAAATAAGGGAGAGAGAGAAAAAGAGAGGGGAGGAGAGGGAAGGAGAAAGAGAAAAAGCTAGATAGGGCATGAGGCCCTGGGTTCAAACTAGTGCTGAGGCTAAGGCTAGAGTAGTAGATGTGGTATCGGCAAGGGTTTTGTTCAAATCCCAGTAATTTTTAAAACTGTGTTTATTTTTTGTGAGACAAGGTCCAGATGTAACCTCAGTTGACCTTGGACATATCATCCTCTTACCTTCCTATGTGGGATTATAGGTGTGGGTCACCATGCCCAGTCAGAGTGTCTTTTTAAGGCATCAAGTTTATAGCAATGACTACATAAGTTTTACAAACAAAAAAAATTTCCATCTACCTGAGAAAATCAGCATGAATAGGAACCAAACTACTACTTTCTTAATGTTATAACTGTACCTATGGTAGCACAAACTAGAATATTCTAATTAAATTTGAATAGCCAGTTTAACTTACTTGAGTAATTCCAGAGCAAACATCATTTCATAGATTGTATTTTTCCCATCTGGGTCTACTACATCATGAAAACTAGAAAACATCCAAATGCTAACTTTATACCACAGTATGCATAGGCTCCATATATCCTGAGTTTCCAAACAGAATCATATTAGTATAGTTATACATATGGCTCTATAATTCAAAAGGATTTGGAGACAGATGGCTCACACTTGTAATCCTAGCTACTCAGTAGGCTGAGATTTGAAGATCGCGATTCAAAGCAGGCCTAGTAAAGAAAGTCCATGCTATTCTTCTCTTTTGTTATGGGGCCTGAATCTGGGCATGGGCGCTGTCCCTCAGCTCTTCAGCTCAAAGCTAGCACTCTACCACTTGTGCCACAGCACCACTTCTGTTTTTTTCTGCTTATGTGGTGCTGAAGAATCAAACCCAGGACCTCATGCATGCAAGGCAAGCACTCTACCACTGAGCTACCTTCCCAGTCCCTCCATGTGATTCTTATCCCCAATGAACCACCAAAAAGTCAAAAGTACAGTTAAGGCACAAGTGGTAGAACACTACCTTGAACAAAAAAATGGTTAGGGACAGCTCTCAGGCCTTGAGTTCAAGCCCCAGGACAAGCACACACAAAAACTAAGGAAGCTGGGCACTGGTGGCTTGTGCCTATAATCCTAGCTACTCAGAAGGCTAAGATCTGAGAATCATGGTTCAAAGCCAGCCCAGGCAGGAAAGTCTGTGAGACTCTTATCTCCAATTAACCACCAGAAAACTGGAAGTGGTGCTGTGGCTCAAGGTAGAGTACTCTCCTTGAGCTGAAGCACTTAGGGACAGTGCCCAGGCCCAGAGTTCAAGTCCCATGACCAACCAGGGAAAAAAAAAAAAGAAGGATTTGGGTGATTTTAATTGTGTATTTTGTGGATTACTACATTGAACCAGATAGGTCCGCCTCAGTTTTGTTCATCAAAGCTGCTTGTCGGAAGTGGTTGAGTCTGTGTTGGACTTCTAGGGTGAGCCAGCTATTAAAAAAAAGTCACAATTAATTCACAATAATATTAATTAGCCAATACATATTAGCCAATAATATGTGTAACTAACATGATTCTTCCTTATTAAGAGACCCTTACCAGTGGCTCATGCTTGTAATCCTATCTACTCAGAAGACTGAGATGTAAGGGTTGAGGTTCAAAGACATCTGGGCAAGAAAGCTCATAAGACCTTTATCTCCAATGAACTACCAAAAAAAGTGGAGCTTTGGCTCAAGTGGTAGAGTGCTAGCTGTGAGCAAAAGAAGCTCATGGACAGCACACAGGCTCAGAGTTCAAGCTTCAAGACTAACACACAGACACACACAGACACAGACACACACAGACACAGACACAGACACACACAGACACACACACAGACACAGACACACACACACACACACACACACACACACACACACACACGAAATTTTGCTGTTTTTGTTTCTTTTGTCTTGTTTTGTTTTTGGTGCCAGTACACTTGAGCCATATCTCCACTTCTGGCTTTGTGCCAGTTAAGTGGAGAAAAGTGTTAGTTTACTCTAATTTGTCTGCCTGGGTTGGTTTCAAACTGGGATACTCAGATCTCAGCCTCTGAAGTAGCTACAATTACAGACATGAGCCATTGGAGACTGGCTGTACCATTTCGATTCTTTTTTTTTTTTTGGTCTGGTTGTGGGGCCTGAACTCTGGGCCTGGGTGCTGTCCCTCAGCTCTTCAGCTCAAGGCTAGCGCTCTACCACTTGAGC